GGGGGGGGCTTGTTGCAAGCTTTATGTCATTGTTTATGGGGTTCAAGTGCACATTACAGTGAGGAGAGGGGGTATGCAAAGTATTCCAAATTTGCATAATGTAATTTAAGGATAGCCCCTAAATTCATTGGATGTTATCATGTTTTATGTTCTAGTTGAAGTGCATTAATACCTAAAAATTTACCACAACTCACAATTTTTAGACCTCTCCACACTCAAAACACATTTATTTAAAGAATAATAATTTTATTGTGCACACAAGATGACCAGAACTAGTTACATTGTAATTCTCTAACCTACTCACCTAAAATTATAGATCAGAGCAATCATTCTTCTGAATAGGAGACTAGCCCACTGCAGAGTTTATTGCATTAAAGCATTGCTAAAAATAACGTAAATCATTAAGCAATGTCATATAAATATTCAGAAAATGTAACTTCTGAATTAAATTAAAATTTTCCATGATTGCAAGCAAGTTTGGTGATCATAATTTCAAGAGCTGGAAGTAGCATCCCCCTGACTTAGGAAATTGGGTAGATCATCAATATTTTCAATCCCTTACTAATCTTTTTTGATACAAATTTACGGTAAGGTACATATTACAATAAAATAAATATTTTGTCTGTTTTTGAACTAAAAAAATACACACAGTTATATTCTTTGAAAATATCAGTTCAAAAACAAAAGTAATGGCACTGCAATGCAAAGATCATAAGAGAGCCAACATTGTAATAAATGGAGAAATAATGGAACCAGCAACCAAATTTTGTTATCTTGGAAATTTACAATACAACTGTTCAACCTACAGCTACGTATGGCTCTGAGACTGGGTAATGAAAGAGACAAACAAAAAATACAAGCAGCACATATGAGATTTCTGAGACTCCTTGGAGGAGTTACAAGAAGGGATTGACTGAGAAACAAAGACATTAGAAAGAAACTAAAAACTGGTAGAGAAAACTTGGTAGACTAGGAAGACTTGGTAGAGAAAATAGAAAACTCTCAAAGAAAATCACAAGATCACCTTAAAAGAATGACCAATAACAGATGGCCAAAACTAATATGGAAATATAAACCTGCAGGGAACAGATATTAGAAGACCATGAAAGAAGTGGAACAGTAAGAACACCTGAAACACTGACTACCAGGAATACTGCATAAATAACGGGAAAGGTTGTTAAATCTAAACCCCAACAGTTCATGATAATGATGATAAATACAATAAACAGTACTAAACATTCATAGCTGAGAGCAAGATGGGTTCTGTTCAGAGAAATCATGTAACGACCAGATTAACATCAGGAGAATAATTATCATTAGGAGCAGAGTGCAGAATGAAGAAGACGGATATATCTTGTCTTTCTTGATTTTCAGAAGACTTAATTCGCTACATCGAAATAGTATCTGGACAGTATTAAGGAAATATAAGATACCTGAAGTTTTAATTGAACATTTAAAACAACTATACAAAGACTTTGGATGTTACCTAATGCAAGGGAAAAAATATCAGACAGAATAGAAGTAAAACGGGGAGTGAAACAGTGGCTGCGTCCTGTTACCTCTCCTATTTATTGCAGAGCTGGATGACTTGATGAAAAAAGTAACAACAAAGGAAAGAAGAGGTATTAAATAGGGTGTGACGAGAATACTGGAAAACCTAGAGTATTGGGACAAAATTCTCTCTCAAAAGTTTATGAATATGAAGTCAAAGCTTAATTATGTATATGAAGAAGCAAAGAAAAAGGGGTTCCTAATTAATTGCAATAAAACAAAATCTTTAAGAATAAGTGCAAATGTCCAAGACACGTTTCAAATTAACCAAGAAGAAGTAGATGATCACAACTTCCAATATCTGGGGAGTATAATAACTGATGATGGAGGCACAGATGAAGATGTTAAATAAAGAATCAACAAAAATTCATTTATTTTATACAAATAAACAAAATATAGAAAAATAGGAACATATCCTTAAAAACAAAACTACTCATTTGTACACTCAAATGTAAAATCTGTGCTTTTATACGAATCAGAAACTCAGAAAATAAGAGGGAAAATAACACAAAGTACAAGTGTTCATAAACCGATGTTCACAAAGAAATATGAACATTAGGTGACCACAAGTAATAACAAATGAAGAACTGCTGATAAAACATCAATAGCAAAACAAAAAACGCAGAAAATGGAACTGAAAAGGATGTACTTTAAAGAAACCCAGAAATTCAATTGAGAGAGAAGCACCATGTTGGAACCCACACAGGAGTAGAAGCTAAGGTCGGTTGAGACCACCATAGAGAAGAACGGTGGAAGGAGAGATCTGGGAGACTGGTAGGAAGTACAAACAAGTCTTTCCTATAACAGAAAACGGAATAAGATGGAGATTCTTTGCAAGGCCCTATGCTCTGAAAGGAACCAAAAGAAGAAGAAGAAACATCCTACATAGTGTAATTGGAAAGAATTGGCAATATTTGTTGATTGGAAAGAAGCAGCAGCTTCTTAGAAGGCGAGTGCATCGCCTTAGAAACTAATCTGAGAGCGCCCACAAAACCAAACATTTTTCTAAAATTACATTAATATACAGGTGGAGGAAAATGCTATGAATCACACATCATTTAAATGAATGAACACAATGTTTATTAGAATTCTGTTACAAAAATCATTAACACAAAAAGAATACAGAAAGAATACTATCCTAACAATTGTTTACAGTTTTACTTGGCATCTCATGGTTTCAGTAAGCACACACTGCACACACTGTTTCACGCTGTCCGCACTTGCTGAAAAGTTCTTCTCTGCAAGACGCCTTGCATGCCATGTATCTCCTTAGTAGAAAACCTTGAAATCCTTGCTTGTCCTCCCACATATAGATCAAATACGTTTCCTCTGATTTTAAAGACATTTTCAATTTTTGATCTTTGAGTTTGTGACTGTGATAGCAAAAACTCTCAACCTTCCAATTGGTGCTAATCCAAATTCTGTCTAGATATGGCCAGAGGCAGAATTTTGTAAATGACAAATGACAGCATTTAGCATTAATATCCAAAAATTTATTTCTTCAGAAACCATAAGATTAATATTAATTACACGAAAATATTGAAACTCAAATGGAATTGGTCTTTAATTTGAAAACAAAATTCCAGAGGATGATTTCTAAAAAAAGTAATATTATTAACAAGCTCATTTGTAAAATAAATCATGACAAAAATTAACATGAATAAACCCCTAAAAGAACATAATAATAGCCTTATTTCATTATTGTTGATGGTTTGATGAAATTAGTAAAGACGTATTTCAACCATAAATTATGTAATACTAGCATTTTGATTGATTGCATTGTACATTGATGAAAATGATGACAATTCTTAAGTACTGCAAAAATTACTCAGTTGAAAGTTCGAGATGCGAAAAAATTATTTGTGCAAAAGAGGTGCTTTCAATAAAGTAGTTGTATGTTTGAAATGTAATACCAAGTAAATAAATAAATATGATTTAAATATATTTAGTAATGTTTTGTAAACCTAACTACACAAAAAATCTCACATGATACTCCAGTTCTTCAAAGTTCTTAAATAAATAAGAGGATTGAAAGAAAAAGCTAGAAAAAGAGAAAGGGAGAGAAAGAAAGGGGGAGAAAAAGAGAAAGGGAGAGAGAATGATAAAAAAAAGGAAGAAAGAAAGAGGAAGAGAAAGAATGAGAGAGGAAGTGAAAAAAAGAAAGTGAAAGAAAGAGAAACAAAGAGAGCAAGAGAGAAAGAAAGAGAGGGGGAGAGAGGGAGAGAGAGAGAGAGAGGGAGAGAGAGGGAAAGAGAGAGGGTGTGAGCGGGGGAGAGAGGGAGAGAGAGGGAGAGAGAGAGAGGGAGAGGGAGGGAGAGGGAAGAGAAGGAAGACAAAGAAAGGAACTGTAACTGTAATTTTCAAATGAAGGATGTTTATTTTTACTTATACAGGCTACTAATATTAAAACATTCCCATTGTTTTTACTTTCACGCAGTAAAGAAAATATTTTAATTGTGCAGCGGAAGCGACAATATTTCGGCTATGAATTTCGTATAGTGAATAGAATCTCGTAATTCTCTCTAACACATTGTGAAGTCAGAACCCATTGGTTTGTGACAAAACGTCTTTCCGTTCGTCTGTGAATAATGATAGCGGCTGAACCATGGAAGAATAACTCTTGTTCCGTGGCTAGGCTGAAGGTCGGATCTTCTCCGAAATCGATATTCCCTTATTTATCTTGGCGATATCGCCGCCCCTTGAATATATCAAGGTTATTCTAGTTTTGGGAGTGAATTCTGGAAGATATATTCAAAATTTTCTAAAAACGACTCAGAATTTGGGAACAAATTTTTTATCGGATAGTGTAAACTACCATTTTCAAATGACGCAGATACAATTTCGTTCAATTATCTATTTTCGAAAATTGCAGACGTTTTATTTCTGCTGCGTCTTTCTACATTTACGACTTTTCTTCATGAAATATGTTCTTCAAAATTAAATGATTAAATGAGACGTACAATTTAAAAAAAAGTAGTTTTCGCGTAATTTTTCATGAAATAAAGGCGATTTTAAAATCAAAATTTTCCCAAAAACGTCTCCATAATTTTTCTTTAAACTGTTTGAATGGATAGTACGAAGTAAGCACATAAAAAGGGCAAAGGTACAATTTTCGTTGAATATTGAATTTTGTGAAATTGCAAAAGTTCCAAATAATGTGAAATATTTGATGTTGTTTCACCATTATTTTTGTATAATACAATGAAAAATCGTCACAACAAAAATTAACAGATGGTGATTTTATGAAACAAATATATTTTATTAAAAGCTTTGACAGGGATAATAGACTAGCATAGCAGACGCACACATGAGCAAACAACAAGGTGCGTTAAGGGATAATTGTTTTAACCGTTCGAATGATACCCGCTACGTCAACTTGCAATGACGTCGTAAAAATCTGCCAATAAGGTATCAAGAATCAGGGTTCCCAACAATACGTAACTACAAAGGTGTCCTTCCGAAAAGTAAAATTCTGATAATTATTCGCAATAACGTCATTCGTAACTGTGCAGGAATTTCAAGTAATCAATATAAACCGTTGTTTTGATGTTATTTTTATGAAACGAAGCTAACTTCACAATTTATCGTCGAAAACAAATCCTTCTTGAGCCGCTGATCACAACAGGTGAAGAAGAGGAAATCATGGTGCACCAGGAAAGAGTTCGCGTGCCTTAGGAGAATGGAATTATTATGATAAGCGGTACCAATATTGTTGTTTCTTTTACATAATTCAATATCCATTCTTAGAATCTTTTCAGACCGGTAAGTGACAATATATTTCCGAATCTACAAGATTGCGCAGGAATTTATTTGAGTTGGTTCCATTACGTCATAATCGGGATCCTTTGAGTTCACCTGGATAGCCTGTCAGCTGCTGGCTACTGGGCTTTTATGTGATTGTTATGAATTATACGTATTTTAACATTTTAAAAGTTTAATGAAGTTTGATATTGGGAAACGCTTATTTTTAATTTGGACTCGTCGCTCTATGTGATTTTAATTCAAAGACACGCAATGCCAAGGGTCACTTAGTTTTATGGTACGAATGGAGTGTATTTGACATTTGTTATGTTTGTGAAACATTTTTTAGCCTATGTGTGATAACTCCGTAATGTAACAAGTTAAAGTTAAAAATATGTTTTGTTTGTAACGAATATACATTGAAAATAGCGTTTTATTTGGTGTGTTATGTTTTGTAGGTCTCAAATTAATCAGCATTGCGTGTGACAGAAGGGAATCGGAGTTTGAATTTCTGATGTTTTAACTTTTCAATCATGCCTTTGAATGCCGACATATCAACAGCGCTGCAGTTATTGGAACATATACAACATACAATAGATGCTAGTGATGATGCAAAACTTCAAGCACAAACAAATGATGATTTGAATTTGCTCATTTCTGTTTTGGAAAATCCTATCTTTAGAAGTATTGTTACAGTGCAGGTGTGTAGTAGTTTTTATTACAAAAATAAAATTTATTATGTTGCCGAATAAAAGATTCCCAAAATTTATATTCGTTGTTGTATAGGATTCTCTGTCAGAGTTAAATCAGCAGCTACAACAACATCCATCTCTGTTGCCTGTGGACTTCGATATAACACCATGTGGTGATTTAGTGCTTAATGTTCCTCCACCTGTGGAGCTGTATGATCCTGTTTATGATCCTGGCTACAAGAATCCACATGAGTATGATGATCAGCGTGTGCCAGTTGCTAAGCTTTCCCATAGTTCTTCAGGAGATACTTCATCACCACAGGTGAATTACCCAAGACAACTTTTTTGCACAATATTAAATGAAGTAAATTAATAAATCTTTCATTAGGAGGGTCTACATTTCAAAAGTCAGAGGAACATTCTTTAATAAGAATTTTAATATTTGAGTAAATAATTTTGTAGAATCCTTGAGAAACTTAAGGTTCAGAACACTGATAACAACATAGACATTTACATTTTACACTGCACATTTGGCATTTTGCCTTGTTAGAATGTTAAATATTTTTTCCTATGCCAAATTTCATGGATTAACATTGGCCCTGGAGAGCTAATAAAGAATACCAAAACAGGTACATCATACATTCTCAATAATATCATTCCCATGTTAATAATATTCTTAATTTTATGTATCATGTTTACTCGGTGTTATGTCACTTAAATTATCATATCTGCTGGCATTTGTTGTTGCATCATGTGTTTGTCGCATATTTTTGGTGTTGCTTGTATGTGTTATGAATGTATGTGATTGAATGTCATGTGTAAAGGAAGATCCCTTTAATTCACTACACTTTTATGAATGTAATTGCATGTAATCATTAAGGAGCATGGAAATGTGAATATTGCAGAGGTGGCATGTACATCAGTTGTATGGGGCTAAATTGAATATTGCTTATGCCATTACAAAGGACAATATTATAATTATTTTGTGAGTTTAATGCTACACATATGTGTGGAAGGATGTACATTTTCAAACATCATTGGCTTTGGTTTTAATTTAGAGGTGAAGGAAACTCCATGTCATGAGCATAATAAATGAGAATTTTAGGATAAAATACTATTCTTCTATAGCAATTGAGCTTTTGATTATTGAAGTATTTTTAGATAAATGACAATTTAAAATGTGTATTTTGATTCTCTCAAATCAACTTATTTCAAATTTTAAGTGACTGAATATGTTGTTTAACTTTACAGTTTCACCTCTGAGAAAGACCTTGCTTGTGAATGAATATTCGTGCCGCATTGCTTTGTGACTGTATTTTTGTCATTTCGAAATCCATTTTTCTCACATTTTGTAACAGTTGCTCTGTTCCTATTCTATTATTAATTTGATGCTACTCACTATTTTTTACAAAAACTAATATTTCTTATCAAGTTGAAGATCTGTTGTGTCTTGAAAAGATCTGTCTCATTTGTTTTGTTTTTTATTTATTTTTTCCTACTTGTATTTTTACATTTGGTGTTCAAAGATTGAAAAGGTCATGAAAGCGGGTGTGTTTGTAATGGTGATGGAATGTGTATTTGTACTGTTAAGAAACACGGTTTAACCTGTGTAAATATGAAAACTAAAATCTGTATGTAAGGGAAATTCCTCACCCAAGACACTGCAATGTCATTCTGTAATGTATCTCTTTCTGAAAAGGAAGTTTTATGTCTATTTGTAATTGCATTCATATTTAATTATTTTAATGTATTATGACAAAATATTGCAAGTTTTCTTGTGTGTTCTTCTTCTTCTTTTTATTGTCATGGATGTGGAATTTTATTACTTTTCTTGATGTAAGTGTTTGCTATAAGTATCTACTGCTTATGTGTTGTTGGAAAAAAAACAACCAACACAAAAGATGTAGTATGTAAAGAGCATGAGAATGACATTGCCTAACGTCAAGACTACTACATACATTAACAGGACCCATTATTAGAGCGCAAATGTGTACTTGCATTTTGTCAGATCACTAGCCCAACTTTGGCCCCTGAGGACGTGGCGCTTCCCCCCATTACTACCCCAACGTATGCAAGAGAGTTCCAGAAAGCTATTGAGGAATCCTCACAGGGTCGAGAGGTGCTCACAATCCAGGTATGACAATGAGTTCCCCAACCATGCTTACCTTGGTTGTGGTATTGGTTAAATAAACATTTTCCCAATGATTGATTGTTTCATAACTGTCTTAATTTCCACTAATATTCTTTGTGTCATTACTGGGTGTATTGTACACTGTAATTGTCTCTTGGGTAATGGGTGTATTTGGTATGTTTGTGTCATGTTTGTTACTTACATCAGTCTGCCTTCTATTATCTTGTAATTTAACTCTTTGATGTCGTAATTGCTACTCTGGAAATACAATGTTCTGTAGTTTTTATATTGAGGATAAATTTCAAATGACACTTTTCATTCTACATTTATTACAGAAACGTGGCATGATTACTTCCCATGTTAAATTTGGCATATTTTTTCACTAATTTTTTGGTTTCATTATTCAGTCTTTGACAGTGACGATGTATCAGTAATGGTGGAAATAGGCTATAGCTTGTCCAGCAAAGAATGCCAATAAAATATAAAAGAAATTGTAGTACAACACATTTAAACAAGTCTTACTTTTTGTAGCACACTATTTTAGCTCTTTGAACTTGGGATAAGACTTATTCTTTTGATGAACAGTTAGAAATGTGGTGTTAAGATTAAAACTATTTCTCCAAGTTCCGGAAAAAATTAATTGTAATGTTTATTTTAAATTTTGTACTTATGATAATTTAAGAATATGATTCTATAGTAACCTTCATTATGATACTTTACATGTTAATACAGAATTGCTTAAACGGAGTGGTAAGTAGTTTGCTGTCTGACTTATGAGTGCTCAGGTGAAATTGCACAGGTAGAATGATTACAGATGTTTCAATATCCACCTTGTGTATTTTTGAAACAAAATTTATGAAACTAGAGATGATATTTGGGTCAATACAACAGAAGCAAATGAATATCAAATGGTTTTGAAAAAGTTTGTTGGGAGTAGTCACATGAATTTCTGAAGAGATTTTCATCTTTAATGCAGGGCTCTTAGGAAAACACTAATGATTCATATGAGAGAAGTACACAAAATAATGAATTTGAGAAGTGAAGATAGATTTGCTTTTTGCAGCTGCTTTCTTTATTACATTGATAACGTATCCACAATTCATTTGGTATAATTTAGGGAAGTTAACTTTTTGTGGAGTAGATTTTCATTTACAAAATAAAAATAATTGTATTCTAAATTACGAATGTAATCATATTTGAACTAGTTAAATTGTAACTTTTGAAACCTTTTTATTATACCGTTTTGTTTGCTTCTAATAGAAAACCACGCTAATATAAGATCTTGAAGAAATAATGTATGAAAAATGTAGTAGAGGAGATAAAATGTCTTGGAGATGTCTTGGCAGACACTCTTTTCAAATGAGTAATAAGAACTAAAATTGAATTGCAATAATGTTCTTCTGGCATTCAGAGCTACTGATTTAGCATTGGGAAGATTACAAAACCATTTTCATTATCTTCATAATTTATTGCAGTGAAATTGGGCGTCAAAAAGGCAGGAAGTACTGATAAATGACTGAGGAGGATCAGGTCATCAAAACAGATTCTTTGATTTCTCTGTCTGGTATAATTCAATGTAAGATATTTTTGTTTGGGGAGAAGGAATAATATCTGTGGTTACTGTAACTTGTTCTTCTAGTAGGTAACTGTATCTCTGTGTAACTGTTACTCATTCTTCTTCTAATGTCATCTTTTTAGTTTTTTCTATCTCATCAAATTAATTCATTTTTTAGTGCTATAGGCTCCCTTCTAGTTGACAGAGGGAGTTATTTTTTGAGGCTCAATTGGAAATAAGTCAGTCTCCCAGGTTGTAGTGAATATTAAGTATTTTGGAGCTGACAGTAATAATAACAAAACACTTAATGATTGAAATAAAGCTACATATTTCAATTAAGTGAATAAAAAAGGTGCAAAAATGTTGATTGTATCTCAATTAATTTTGAGTAAGTTACAATTGTATGATCTCACCTTGACTGGTTCCTTTGGAAATTGAATTTCAAAAGATTAATTACAAATCTTTTGGTCTCTTTTTTGAATCAGTGACCATTTTGAATATAATGAAACCATCCAATCACAGATATTATATTGCTCTGTCTCACTTGATGCATTTTATTACATGAAGTCTGTATGTACATATTACTCATATGTCCAAATTCCATTGCTCTTTTAACTCTTGGGGTAACAAACAGGAAATTTGTATCTTGTTCAATGCTTCTTTTGTCTTTTCTCCCTTCATTTCGTATCCAAAGGAGTGCTCCTCACATTCCAGACTCAATTCGAGGCATGTAAAATAACACTAAGAATACAATGTTCAGTTGATAAAATACTATTCAGATAAGTTCAAATTCTGTACTTCAATTTAAACATTGAGCTCATTGATGTAAATCAGCTGTTGCAGTGTCTTCCAATCACGAGTTTGGATGTCACCTACAATAGTGACATTTAATATTCCGATTTGATGACACCATAACAGCTGATAAATGTGAATGGACTCTGTAAATAAATTGAAGTGCAGATAAATTTTAATAATTAATGGAATAATTACACTTAAAAATTTTGTGTTTCTAATGTATTAGGGACAGTTTTCAATATCTGAAGCAAGTTATGTGCTATTGTATTTAATTTTTTAGTTAATATTTTAGAAAAAAAAAAATTATTACATAAGTTGGATCAATCTAATTAATTTTTTTATTAAAACATTTTTTTTATTTAATGTACTATCATAATTTAACTATTTTTGAAACTTGTTTACATTAGCTCATCTTTATGAATTTCACATCTTTAAAGGTTTCATTTTTTCTTTTATCAAATCAAAATTTTGGAATGTGAAGTATTTTTAAGTATTTGCTTGTATACTTTTATATTTAAATTTGTCAACACACTTTGTGTTATAGGAGTCAGCAAATTTATTGATGCTATGTACATTTATTAGGCTCCCAGCTTTACGATCACTAGTTATTATAAATGGTTGCTTGCAAGGCTTTTTGAGTTCACTATTTGTTAGTGCAGATTATTATTGTTGTTGAATTTAGCCCTTTCTTTATATATTACAACATTGCTCTATTACCATTTTAATTTGTAAGTTGTCGGAACTTCCCTCCAGATTATTTATTATTGATGTAATATTAAATTATTGTGTGTTCTACCATTTATCTTTTTTGAAATCAACTCTTGAATTAAATGTGAAACACACTTTTGTTTTGCATATCAGTGATTCATAATATTGTTTTCATTATGACCTATTACAGTATTAAGTGTTTCTCTTGGGGGCTGTTTTTCTGATTATGCATTATTATTGTGTAATTCATCAAATAGTGCTTTTGTTTTTAATGCATGGTTGCTTGTATAATTGATAGTGATGAATTTACATAAAAACTTTCGTCTCAGGTTCTCATAAAATATATTTCTCCTTTTTATTTGTGATGGATATCTACTTACTGGTGTGTTGAACTTTAGCAATGGTTGAATTAGAAGTGCCAGATAGTACATTTTTAAAGATTATTAGTTGTTTTTAGTTTGAAGCATCAGTTTGAATGTAAAGAATAATAACATGATGCTCTTCTAAGCCTTCATGCAAGTGTTGGTTGTGGTGAATTTTCCCTTGAAAATTATTTGGTATTATGAATTGTCTGTACAGGGCAGTGGGAGTAGTGTGGTGTATTTTGCTAATATAATTACTAAAAGGAAAAAATAGTGCTAAGAACTGCAATTGCATTACTATTTGAGAAGGAATTTTTGGTGATTTGTGACACATCAATTTCTCTTCTGTTATTCTAAAATTTATTTGCTCATTGAATCTTAAGATGGTGGACAACAACAAAAAGCATTATTCATTATGTGTTCAGTTTTCATAAAGAGAGTTTTAGTAGCGTTTTGAAGCAAATCAAACTTGGATAATGAATTTCAACCTTATGACTGTTGGCATTACCCGCTCAACATTTCTTGACTAATGACCTTGTTTCCCCGTCCCGTGAGCAATAAACAGTTAGAAGCTTGCAGTTAAAAGCAAAAGCTTGCAGTGAACACTGATGACATCATTCCAAACACATCTTCATTGGTGTGTAATAATAATCTAATTACGGTTGAAATTGAGAACTCCTGGTTGTATTTTTCTAAACAAAATCTAAAGGAATGGCCAAAGCAGATCCATTTCCATCACTGGAGATACCTCAAACTTCTGATAAAGTTGGAACCCAAATTATTGAGAAAGTTCCAAAGACATGATATTCCAGAGATTGGCATTGCTTCATAAAATTTAGAGGTCAATGTTGTAACTAATGCCCTCACTCTACCTGCATTTCTCTAAGCCATCGGTCAAGAAAAGTTGCATGATTAACACTGTTGGGTGTATTGAATATGGTCTTATTGTAAAGAATAATCAACATCTTATCTCATTATCATAATTGTTTTGAAGAGAGATTCATTGAGTTTTTCTTTATAGAATAAAGAATATTGACAATAATTTTAATCCAATAAACATACTGTGGAAGAACAGGATATATTAAGACTCAGATCTGTGATCAGTGTCGGCCTGAAAATTTGTGATGCAAACAGATTCCCAGAAAAGAAGTTATTAATAGAAAAAGAGATTGTTAATGGGCTATTAATCAGCCATGAACAAACACCTAGATGATCATCTGAAAAGGAATTGAATATTAGAAGGAAAATTAAGAGCACTGACCATACTGGGCATATGCTAGCTGGCCCTGACTGTGAAATGAATTAGATATTTTTAGAATTATTACTTACCCAACTCACAACAGATATTTATATTAAGTTAGATTAGATGTTTATGCATACAGTTTAATATTCACTTCATGGAATGCCTAGAAAATTTAGGATGTATTATGCTTGCTAGTATGTTTCAATGAAAACACTTACTGACAAGTGTGCAATTTTATATTTTATTAGCATGGAAGGCTGGACTTGCTGAATTTGCTATTACATTGAGCCTTGTAGTTGCAAACATTGCTTGCAAATATTTTATTTCAAATGTTTGAATTTCATCATTATTATTGAACTCTGCCCAGTGCATATTCAGTGAAGCATTTGCAAAAATATTAATAAGCATGTAAATAAGTTGCATTCTCTATTTAGACATGGCATGAATCATTTTTTCAGTGCATAATATAAGTCGTGGATTTTATTGTAAAGCTGTTTATAAAACTTCACTTTTCTGCTTTCTAAACAATTTTTACAGCTCTATAAACCAGAAGGAAGTAGTCTTGGCTTCAGTGTGGTTGGCCTGCGTAGTGAAGAGAAAGGAGAACTTGGTATCTTTGTTCAAGAAATTCAGAGGGATGGTATTGCTGGAAGGTAAGTAGTTGCTGTGAATAATTAGTTTTGTTAATTCTCCAGGGTTTTGAATTTGAATAATCAATTGAAGTACTAACCTTTTGAATATGATTTGTTCCTAGTGAAATTTGAAAGTAGTCCACAAACTAAAACCCCGATAAGATTTTGTGGAATATTTTAAATATTCTCTTTGTGGCTTCAAGAGAGAATAGAATATTGTTTTAAGAAATTTCATGAAGGATTGAATGTTCAATTTTTTTATTGATTTAAACATTGACGTTGCTATTTTTAATCATCAGCGCTTATTGCTCTGTTAATTGCTTTTTGATAATTAAAAATGACAAGTTTCCTATTAAAAAATTCATATTTACAATCATGTGAATTACATCAATTTAGTATGATTTGGATAAATGGGATTTCATTAATGTGGTGATCCGTTGTAAATAAGTTAACTGAAACGTTGATTAAAGGCAATAATAAGGAGGGGTAATATTCCAGAAAGTAATTAATTTTCTTATATTTTAATAAATTATTAATTTGAAGTTTTAAACGATTGTTCTGCAATGAAAGTACGTAGGAATAAAATCGTACTCATTATGTTGCTAGCTGTGTCCGTACTGCAGCTACTCGCTGTTTCGTTCGCTCGTCGAGCGACCTCATCACGATCGCGGCAACGCGAAGCGAGTCAGCGCAAACGGCGTCGGTGTTCCGTTGCGGCAGGAAGCGTTCGTTCGTTGCGCTGACTGAACGAGTGCATTTCGCCCAGGTCTTCTGTTTCCACCGACTGACGGGACGATGGGTTATTCTTTAGGAAGAGTTCCTTTGCGCATTAGAAACTCACGTTAAGATTTAAAATTATTTCCGCCGCCGACGTTTATAGCGTCCGTAGCCGTGAATGCATTAAAGATGGGTTGCACTGCACATGCCCAATAGAGACATCTCAGCATACGATCGCTACTTCGAAAACATCGGGTAGCCCAGAGGGAGCCAGGGATTTGTTGTGCCTGCGTTAGTAATTCGTTGCATTGCACTGTTTCATTTCCTTTTGTGCTTTCTTCAACGAATGTGATTCTATTTTTTTTTGTCTCTGTCGAAAAGCTAGAACGTCATATTGTGGGACGGCATTCGTTGTAACAGTCACCCTCCTCTGTGATGTCAGCCGAATTCTCTGATTTCTCACGCGCCGGCGTCGCTAGCCGATTTAATTAACTACGCTCCGTGAAATCACGAAAGTGAAGCAATTCGAGACACCACTAGGCGGGTCTGGGAACTCCGATTACTAACGGTCCCAAGCCCCTGTCCGAAGGTACTGCGACGCGACGAGACAAAAAAAGACAAGTTAACGGAGGATTACTCGAATATTCTCAAGGCCCAAGAAGGGTTACGAGACGTATTGCAAAGGTACAATTTAAATGATAAAACTATAACAAAAGTGCGTGCGCATGTGTGTGTATGTGTGTTGGATATTCTGCTCCAAAACAGGCTTACATTCACTGAAAGCACACATTTCCTCATCTGAGATGTTCTTGATCAAGTTGTTAGTACAGAGTACAGGGAGTCACGCATACTAATGGTATGTCATCCATCAATTTTCACATCGGCGTAGATTGTCCGTCTCGGCCACTAACTTTGAATAGCGTCCGTAGTCGCGAATACAATCGAGATGGCGCATGCGTATGACAGATGGCGCAGTCCAGTCTCCCCGCCCCTCCCCCCAACCGCTGGTGGCGCTCGCCGGCTCTGTCAAAACGATGTAACGTTGACTGACGTCCTTTTTTTCGGAGCGTCAAGCGCACGCCAAGGAACGCGTCATCGCATCCCGGGCGGAGGGAAGCGGAGGGGGAGAGAGCGAGACGGACGGCGCTGGCGCAAAACCGACGTGCCGCCGTCCAATTACCGGCCGCTCATCAACCAACTTTATTCGCGCGCGCTGCGTGCCGCGGGGGCGGGGAGTGCGAGCGACCATCCGTCGCCGGCTGGCGGGCGGGCGGGCGCGTGGGTGGGGGCCATTCGTTCTCGCGTCCGCGTTTAATCGAGTTCCGCCGGCAACCAGCGCCCGCGTTTGCTCGTCTGTTCGTTTCACTCTCTGCGCCGGAAAAGCCATTCGGGGATTGAGCGATTCCCGCGTGGACGTATTAGTGGTTCAAGGAGACACGAAATTAAATAAGAGGAGAGGAATTCAGTCATTTTGCCATTACTGAAATCGTCTTCGTGACATACGTCACTGTGTTTGAGGTGACCGAGCCTGAGAAACGATTGCGGACGTCATCTGATGCCGTCACTCCGATTACGTTTACCGAACGGATGCTGTGGCAGCTTTCTTTGAGTAAAGAAAATCTTTAGATTTACTCCCCCTTCCAGATTAGTTTACATAATTCTGTTAATTGTCAGAGACATAATGTTTGGGTTGAGGTGTTTTGCTGTATAGCAGGCCTGCTACTCCATTGTTGGCTCCCTTGCCTTACTGTAAGGTAGGCAATCGCCCACTGTGTGGCGGCGGGGGGCGTGTCCGGTGGCGACGGCGCGCCGAGAATGCCTATCCCGCTCCCATTAATTACCCCGGTGGTTATTGAGTTACTCTGCGGCGGCGGCGGCGCCGGGCGCGCGTCTGCAAGGTCTTCCGCGCGCGGCCGCGTCTGCAAGGTGACTGACAAGTAATTAAACTGCAGCGGCCTGCTAGTTCGCGGGGCGCAAACCGCCGCCGCCTCCTCTGCCACTTCCACCACTTCCACTTCCCTATCTTCGTCATCCCCCGCGCCTCCACTGGCTCCCCACCGACGCTGCCTTGCCACTTGTGCCTTCACCTGCTTCCCAACCACACCGCCGTGTGCCTCGTCCCACCACCTGTTCCACAACACCACCGCCATCTCCCGACGGCTCACTTTCTGTTCCTCGGCCTTTTCTCTCTGCGTCGCCTCTTCCACCTCCCTCGCCACAACGTAGCCACCTGACCGTCCTCCTCGACTCCGTCTCTCCGTCTTCGCTTGCGTCACCTCTTCCTCCTCTCCACTTCCCCGTCATCACCATCCCCTGCGTCTACCTGCTCCCCAACAACCCCACCCTCTTTCGACAACGCTGTTTCGGCTCCTGCTTTCTCCTCGACCCCTTCATCTCTGCCTCTTCGCCCTTTCACGCCTTTCCCCCACAATGCCACCTGCCCCTGCCAGTACCAGTCCTCCATTCCGTCTCTCCACCTTCTGTTGCGCCACCTCTGGCTCTGGCTTCATGCCTGTGTCGCTCCGCCCTCGTTAGCCTCCGCTCCGGCCGCACTTCTTGCCCCCAGCGAGCGGCGGGGGCGCGACCGGGCGGCGAGGACGCTCCGCGTCGTTCGTCGCCACTTTGTCACCGGCCCCCCTCCCTTCCCCTCCCCTTCGGCTGATCGCCAGCGGAGGCGGCGCGGACGCGAGATTGATGGCACAAGTTGCGACGCGCGTGTTACGCCCCAAGACTCGCCCGCCCTGCCCCGCCCCGCCCCCGTCCCGCCCCGCCCACTCCGCCCCCCGCCCCGCCCACTCCCGCCCCTGCCCGCCCCGCCCCGCCCCACTTCGCCCGCCCCGCCCCACCGCCCGCCCCGCCCCCACTCCGCCCGCCCCGCCACTTCGCTCCGCCCCGCCCTACTTCGCTTCCGCCCGCCCCACTCCGCCCCGCCCGCGTCGCTCGGAGGGGGGGGGGGCGCCCTCGAAGATGAGCCGGAGAAGGCGGCGGAGGAACGGGCTCCTTCGGCGGAAGACGAGTCGCCGCTGGTCTATTCATCGCGGAGCCGTTTAAGCCTGCGGCGGCTTTCCACGGCGCTCGTTCTGCTGTCGGCGCAACCCTCTGCAGTAGGCCGACGAGTCTTGCGACGTAGCCCGGCGAGTGGGACTGAGGAATGGCGGAACGTGATCGGCACGTAGTGAGCATTTTAATGGGTCATTAGCCGTTAGCGGCATTGCGAAACCGCTGACACAGTAGATAAAAAATGGAGTGGTTTGGAGGTGGAACGTTGGATGATCCTCGAATATGAAGAGCATATGCATTTAAGGACGATTTACGATTAACAACTTACGAGTTGGATCACGTGTTAAGTGGGAAACATTCCTTTAATATAAATTTCAGGTTATACTACTATACTATCATTTGTTATTGACTTGACACCCTGAAATTAATTTTCAATATTACTCGACAAAAAAGTTTCGCATTTTCATTAATAGAAACGTTAAATTGTATGTGGGAACATCATTGCGGTGACATGAGCTCTGTGTAAAGTGAATCGGTCTACTGTACGTGTTATGGGCCATTTCCGTCTAATGGAAAGCAAAATATTAATAAAGGTTATGAGTGCAGGGAGCAAACACTCGGAAATTATTATTAGTGGGAGATACGGAATGTGTTGGCGGCCTATTATGCCCCTCGTGTATACTGTTGCCTGCACGCCATATCTGTTAGTGTGTTGTGTTTTTGTTCATCATCTCGTTTTATGTGTTTTTGTTCATCAAACCACTATTTAACAGTTCATAGCACATTTAAGTTTTTATTTTATTTCCATAGGCAAAAATGACAGTTTCTCGTGAAGCGCAAGTTTAAAAAACGGGAAACAGTGTTGGGGCATACATATTTCGTCTGGTAAACGACCATTTACCACGCACGCTCTTTGGAAGTTCATCGGTTTTCCCTTACACTCAACCTTTTGAACTTCTCTAAAATTCATATTCCAGATCCTATTCCATTCTTCTGCTGCACTAAAGCGCCATGCGGTTGCCATCTCGTCGATTTCTTCCAGACGTTGTACGGCTCCGAAAAGGCGCTATTCTCAGTGTTTGTGTTTAGAAGGACTGGAGGAGAGACCCTGTCCTCATCCCAGCCCCGCTGCCTTCGCCCCCGCCCTCGCTTGCACCGTTCTCGCCCCCACGAAATCCCGCCGCGCGGAAATTCATAAATCGCGCACCCGACGACCCCGGCGCCTCCATTGAGGAGCGTCGCATTGAGCGCGGCGCCTGCGAGAGGACGCGCCCCACCCGCGAGAATCGCCCTCACAGAGCTTTGCGCCCCCCTCCTTCCCCATTCCCCAATCCCCCGTCCTCAACCCTTCCTTCACTTTTCCCCACGGGGCGAGAGGGC